TATAAAAATCTAATCTTTGTATAAGTATCAACGTGTTTCTGCTCTAGTTCTTCCTACTGGGCATTACTGAAGCCCATCACTAAGCAACATCAAAAAAACATTCAAATGAGAAGCCATTTCTCAAGCTTGCGACTTACTGTAATGCCTGGTTTCTATCATTATTTATGTCATTATTATAATAAAATTATTGTCTAGGATTTTTTTCTGATTCCCCTTCTATGGCAAGCAGATTGTTAGGAGGGGGGAAGCAAGGGATGAGGAGAGGTCTAGACTAAGTAGTGTCAGTCTTAACAATGCAGAACTGGCAGGCAGATCTCTTACCTGGAGCTTTGCAAGTCTGGGACTCAAGAGTGGAGAAAAATCCAAGTCAGCAAAGAGGCTCTAAATGTGTCTTTTAACAAATGCACCAGCCTGGGGTAGGTATAGGGAAACAGAGTTTAAACTAAGAGATTGCAGAATAAGAGTTGGAGGTAAATGGCAAACAAGTCAAGCAGGAGTTGTCTAGCACAGAGGTCCAAACTTTTATCATGATTACACACTAGGCCTGGAACTTGTAAAGGGACAGGGACAGAGCAGATAGTTTTGCATTTAATTTATTTGTTTGTATTACCTTTCTGACCTCCCTAAGTGGGAGCCCTGAAGGTAAGCTTATTGTAGCCAGCTGGACCTCTCAGCTCAATACCTTATAAAGAGTAGGTGATCAAGAGTTATTTGTTAATTTAAAAGATAATTATCACATTGAATAAATACAGGGAAGATATGATTTAAAATGACACCAATTCCCAAGACAAGCATAAAATATCAGTGCCATCTATGCAGACAGAAGTGCAGTTTTGCTAGTGAATGCAGTTGCAAAGTAAATGCATGATGCATATTTTTAGAGCAGTTTTTCATAGAAAAACCACACCTTGAGTTTCTTGCATTTTAATTTCGGGGCACAATGATACATTTTGCCATTCTGTGATTTCAGACCTGGGATTTGCTGGATGAGTTGCAAATGTATGAAAAATGGTTTGGGAAAACAATTTTTATTCATTAAGTTGTTTGTTTTGATAGATAAAAAGCTCATATCTTTTTAAAGCGATGTTTATTTCATGTTTCGAGTGGCAGAAAAATAATTGTGTGTTTGAAATCTGTGAAATATGTTTTAATGCTTTTAAAATGACTTAAGAGCAAATGTGCCAAATTTACCCACTTTTTAAGCTATTCCGTGGTTGACAGTTAGCGTCACTTTTTATGCTTTATGGAACTATTTAATATGTTCCTTGATTATATCTTTTAAACTGCATTCAGTGTCTGTACCTGGTGGTATGATTAGAACATTTGACACACCTCTAGCAAGATTTTGCAAAGAAGAGATATTACAGATATTGTGTAAATGCTTGATTGATGCTCTAAAAATGAATATGAAAATTTTTGAATATAATAGGATTATGCAAACATGGTCTTTTAATAGGATTTCATTGGTAGATTGAACATATATATGCCTGGTCTATATGCTGGGAATCAGTTTTCAGAAAAGACAAACTGCCTTTCTAATTTGAACTTTTTTTTTTTTTTTTTAATTTTAGTGAGACAGGGTACTCAAAAAAAATTGGATAAGACTGTAAAATTCAGCCTCAAGATCAGTCTACAGAACTTCCTGAGTGCCCATTAAATGTATATTTTAGGTCACTGGGAATTCACGGAATTGTAGAATGCTCCAAATACGTATTTGTTCATACTAACTAGTAATTGATAGTTAATTGTCCACTTAGTATAGGGTAGGCGCTGCTCCATGGGCTTTATATATTTTAACTATTTAATGCTCACAGCATGCCTGTGAGGCAGGTATGATTATGATTATCATCTTACAGATGATTTGATGGAGACACAGAAATGGTTTGTTTTATTTTATTTTATTTTTTTTTTATTTATTTATTTCTAGGAGAAAGAGAGAGAGACAGCGTGAGCAGGGGAGGGTCAGAGAGAGAGGGAGTCACAGACTGAAACAGGCTCCAGGCTCTGAGCTGGCAGTCAGCACAGAGCCCGACGCGGGGCTCGAACCCATGAACCGCGAGATCATGACCTAAGTGAAAGTCGGACGCCCAACCGACTAAGCCACCCAGACGCCCCAGAAATGGTTTGTTTTAAAGTCACACATACAAACTGGGATTTGAAGCCAGTTACTCTTGGTTTCAGCGTCTGTATTTTCAACTACTGGGACAGACTACGTGCTGAGTGCTTTGGTAACATGACGCTTTCGTGCCATACTTCCAAGAAGAGGAAACTCACCAGAATTATAGGATTTCAGGGGGGTGAAAACAGACCCCCGAGAGTCATTTAATCTAACCATCCTGCCAACGATTGTGCTCCCAAGGAGTCTGCAGGCTGCCATGGAGATGGGGAGAAACAGCAAAGTAGTGGAATCTCTATAATGAGCTGTTCAGGGACAGAAACAGTGCCCTCCTTATAGGCTAAACATGTTATATCAGGCTTTTATTATATTTATTGCTGGGTCTTCTTAGGATCTGGGATTTGGCCCATGTTCTTTCCAAATCCTTATATAATCAGCCGTGCTACTGCACTTTTCTACCATTATAGCTATAAATACAAAACATACAAACGCACGAAGGCATCCTACCCAAGTATAAAATTACCACAGGAATGGGAAGGATTAAAAAAAAAAAAATGGATTGTTAGGTTTGAGGGATGATTACCGGTGGCACTGGTCTGGCTAGAGCTTGATAGGAAACGAGAGTAGTTTGGAGAGATGTCAGGGGCATCCTGAAAGTTGAGTGCAGATTTGTGAGGATCAAATGATGGAGACAGATTTCAGATGGTGTGATGACATGCGTGAATTATTTCAGAGAGAAAGGGTGCCTGTGTGCTTGGTGCTTCCGAATATGTTGACAGAATAAATGCAGGGGATAAGAATCTGAGAGCTACACGAGAGGTGCTGTCAATGGTATTGTTTCCCCACATTCTTACTTGTATTTGTATTCTTCATGCCTTGCATGTAATGGTCTTAATATCACTTGTTGAATGTATATATGTGCACAAAATGTTATGTAAGCAGGTGGGGGAATATGTCAAGAAGGGAAAGCGTCACCCAGTTGGTGACGACTGAGTATGAGAAGGGGTTTTGTAGATAGAGATTGTTGTTGGTGGGGTGTGTGTGTAGGGGGGAAGTGGGGTGGGGGGTGTTTCTTCCCCCCTCCTATTTTCTTTCACAGAAAGAAAGCCACTAGTGTACCACTGCCCCTCGTTCTTCCCAGTTCCTCCCTCAGTCTGTCTGCCTTCAGGAAAGAAGGAGTGACGAACCTGCTTGTTGGCTCTGAGATAAAGAACTACAGATGGCATGTAGCTCACATCTCTCTTCTGTCTCCTCTTATGAGTGAGCCCTCTCCCCCTTCTTAAACTAATAATGGGGCAGGAGGACTCTGTTTGAGGCCTACACTTTTGCCCAGCGCCATCTGCATCTGGATAGGTGTGTCTGTAAAGTTCCAGGAGTAGATATCAAGAAGTTCATTGCTGCCATAGAGTACGCTAGCTGTATTCTTCACAATCACCCCTATTGGTAATACAAATGATCCTTGGTCCTCTCTCTGCTTGCTTTTGTGTTTTATTTCTTAGTTTAAATTATTTAGAGCTTGGGGAGGGTTATAATATATTGGGTTCCTTCAAATCTCAATATAACCACCAGGGACAGGCGTTCGTAGAAGAGAGAATAGTATTTATAAAAGCACGTAGAAAATGCTTCATGTGTTTGGGGAAGAGAATTCTGTATGGTGGTAAGAATGAGCATGACAGAATAATCGAGGAAGTTTAGGGTTGAGTCAAGAAAGGACTCAAGGTGTGCTGAGGAGTTAGACTTGATCCTTTGGACTTTATGGTTCTCTAAATAACTGTCTGCAGACCTCTGAGGTCCCTATGGACCTTTCAGGGGGTCCATGAAGCCAAAACTACACTCATAATAATACTAAGACATTGTTTACTTTTATCATTCTCATTTTCTCATGAGTGTACAGGCAAGTTTTCCAAAGGCTACATGATGTGCAATATTGCAACCAATTGAATGCCAAAACAGATATGAGACTTTTGCTTCTACTATAATAGAATATCTTTTAAGCCAGTAATTAAAGAGATCTGTAAAAATGTAAAGCAACGCCATATGTCTCACTAGTGGGTTTTTTTAAATAGTTATCTCATAAACATATTATTTATGTTAACACATAATGCATTTATTTTTAATGACCTAAAGAAAAAAATTGAATTTTTATTTATATTAACTTAAATATAATAACATATTAATTCATACTATAGCAAATACTAATATATATATAACCCATGTAAATAAAAGCTCTTTGGGGCCCTTAATAATTTTCTTATTTTTTTATGTTTATTTATTTTTCATAAAGAGAGAGACAGAGCATAAGTAGGGAAGGGGCAGAGAGAGGATACACAGAATCTGAAGCAGGCTCCAGACTCTGGGCTGTCAGCACAGGGCCCCACCTGGGTCTTGAACTGATGAACAGTGAGATCATGACCTGTGCTGAAGTTGGACACTTAACTGACTGAGCTACCCAGGTGCTCCTTGGGCCCTTCATAATTTTTAAGACCATGAAAAGGTCCTGCTACCAAAAAGTTTGAGAATGACTCCTATGGAGGACATTGGGGAAACTTTGGAGGTTTGAAAGTAGAGGAGCTACATGATCTGTTTCATATTAGACATTTAATTCTTCCAAAGTTACAAAGACTGTCCATGCCCAGCGTTGGTAAAGATGTAGGAAATGAGCGTTCTTATGCTCCACTGATAGGAATATGAATTGGTACAGCCTTCAACTGGGTGTTTTGGCAGTATGTGCCAAATGATTGTAAAAGCACATATTCTTTGGCTTAGAAATTCCACTTTTAGGGATTTATCCTAAAGAAATAACAAATGTTAAAGATATAAACACCATATATTAATATTTATTGTATTGTTTATAATGATTAAAAAAATTAAATAACAAGCTAAATGCTCATGCTTTAGGTCTCCCAGTTTTGGATATCACTTTACTGCATGGCCAGACTGAGCCTTGATTCTTTCTTTTAATTATAATGAGACAGAGACTTCCACCTTTCAAGGGACCGAGGCTCATGAAAGGTTTCCACGTGCCCCTTATTCTCTGTCCAACTCAGTGCCCAAATAATGTTCCAGACTTAACTGCACTGCCTTCAGCCATCTGCCTCAAGGTGAGAGATTTAAAAGTCTCAAGGATCCAGACACCCAGAGCTGGCATCGTTCCCCCATAGCCTGCAAGACAGCAGTGACAGAAAGATGACACAATTCTGCATCTGCAGATGTGACCGGGATGTGCCTTTCCTGGGGTAAAACTGTAAGTCCACGATAAAATTCTTTTACATCTTCTTGTTGCCCTGTTTAGGATGTAAACATATGAGTTTTTCACAAAACTTTTTATGAAGACATATTTTTTTAAAAAAGGAACACAGTTCATAAACTACACCAGCTCTAATTAAAGGGTTCACTGAAGTGACTGATTTTACCACAGTGCAGATATGCAGATTTCTTAGTTTATTTTACCCAAGGGATACAGAAATGCTGATGCATAGGAGCACATGTACCCCAATGTTCATAGCAGCACTCTCCACAATAGCTAAAACATGGAAAGAGCCTAAGTGTCCATCAACAGATGAATGGATCAAGAAGATGTGGTTTATCTATACCATGGAATACTACATGGCAATGAGAAACCATGAAATCTGGCCATGTGTAGCAACATGGATGGACCTTGAGGGTGTTATGCTGAGCGAAATAAGTCAGGCAGAGAAGGACAAATATCATATGTTTGCACGTATAGGAGGATTAGGAGGAACTTAACTGAGGAACAAGGGGGAGAAGAAGGGGGGAAATGGTGGGGGAAAGGGAGAGAGGCAAACCATGAGAGACTCTTGAATGCTGACAAAAACTGAGGACTGATGGAGGGGGGGGGAGGGAGGGATGGGCATGGAGGAGGGCACTTGTGGGGATGAGCACTGAGTGTTATGTGGAAACTAATTTGACAATAAACTATTTGTAAAAAAAAAAAAGCACATTGATCCTTGACAATATCAGATCTGTTCCCACAAGAATAAAAGGAAATATACATGGCTGGCACCAGGATTTTCAAGACTATTTAGTATTTTTCTAAGAAATCCCAGCAATAATCTAACAATGGAAAATTGGGAAATTTCAGGAAAGACGACTAGTAACCTCAAGAATGAAGAAAGGTATAATTCTTTGTGTCTCCATAGGTAAGATTTTTTTCACCTTTTAATTTCTTTCAGGATTTTTTTTCTTTATCTTTGATTTTCTCTGGTTTGAAAATGATATGCCTAGGTGTACTGTTTTTGGTATTTATCCTGTTTGGAATTCTCTGAGCTTCCTGGATCTGTGGTTTGGTGTCTGATAATCATTTGAGGATATTCTCAGTCATTATTGTTTCGAATATTTCTTCTGTTCCTTTCTCTCTGTCTTTTCCTCTGGGATTCTCATTATGAGTATGTTACACCTTGTGCAGTTGTCTCCAAGTCCTTGGAGAGTCTGTTGTTTTTCTCAGACTTTGTTCTCTTTGCTTTTTGGTTTTCAAGGATACTACTGGTATATTATCTAAAGATCTGGATGACCAGAAGGAGGTGGCCTGGGAAGATCCACAGGAAAAGTGTTCCAGAAAGAACAGCAAACAAAGCCTACCTGGAGGGGGTGACTGGAGCAAGAGGGTAAATGAGAAAAGGGCTTTGAGGGAGAGGAGATTGAAGAGGTGGGTGGAGGGCCTTGTAGGCCATGGTAAGGGAGCTGGACTTTTCTGCCTAACTCTAAGTAGGTTAGGGAATGGAAGCCATGGCCAGAACTTACACAGAGGAGTGATGTGATCTGAATTAGGTCTTAAAATGATTACTCTTCCTGGATTGAGAATACATTGTAGTGGAGCAAGCGGGAGAAGGGGCAGCTAGTTAGGGGTAGAGAGTGGCGGTGATGATGAAGGTGAGTAGACAGTATACAAACACATGTATGTATTCACAAGTCTTGTGCAGCCCAGTTACTGCCCCATTTTAGAGACAGGGGATAGGGTAACCTTTTTTTTTTTTTTTTTTTTCCTTATCCTAATCCTTTTCCAAATGGTTAGTAGATTTAATATTTCCCTCTAATTCAAATTCGTAATTTTTTCCCCTCCTATACAGAAAGGAAAGCACAGAATACCTCAGTGCCCAAGTGTTACCTCCCTATCACAGTAAGAAATCCACATTTGTAATATCCTTTCTGAGAAAGTGCACATTTCAGATTTCTAATTCTAGCCCAAGTTTTCTTTTACCATTTTTACATGTTGTGACAGGTGGCTCAGAAATACTTTGATTTTTGTCTCTTCATCACAATACATTGAACGTTAAAATCAAGTTGTTGGGTTTTTATTGGTTTAATATGTCTTTCAGCATTTTATTGCTCAAAATGTCATGAATATTAGAGGATATATCAATATACACCAATAGTAGTCAGATACTTAGAAGTTCTTTCTTCAGCCGTGTCCCGAAAAAAGACCCTCAAAGGCATCCATCATTTCTGATATAGTGTTTTTTATCTCTAGGATTTTATTTTGCCCCCCCCCCTGGAATTTCTCTTTCTTCTTACATTGCCCATCTATTTTTGCATGTTGTCTGTTTTAACCATTAGCATCCTTAGCATACTAATCATTGTTTATTTATTTATTTACTTACTTATTTTTAATCATAGTTATTTTAAATTCCCCATATAATAATTCCAACATCTCTGTCATGTCTGCTTATGATGCTTGATCTGTCTCATCAAATTGTGGGGTTTTTTGCCTTTTGATGTGCCTTATTTTCTCTTGAGAGCCAGATCTAATGTACTGGGTAAGATGAACTATCATAAACAGGCCTTTAGTAATATAGAGGTGAGGTGTGGAGGCAGGGGAAAATTTCTATAGTCCTATCATTACGTCTCAGTTTTTTATTGAGACTGTGCCTTTGGACTGTGAATTTCACAAGTGTTTCTAAGTTTTACTTTCCCTCATTAGGAGGGACAGGATGGCTAGAGCAGGCTGGAGTTGGGTATTTCCCTTCCTCAGGTCAGTTATGTTTTGTTAATACTTGACTAGGTTAGAATCCAGTTAAGTATTTCTCCGGAGGATAGGTTTTGTTAAGAAGAGAGTCCTCTGAGGTGTTTTAAAGTACAGAATTCCTTTCCCCCTCTCCCTATGGAAGCCCAAGGGGATCTCCTCCCATATATTTTTAAAATGCTTTATTTATTTTTGAGAGGCAGAGACAGAGCACAAGTAGGGAAGGGGTAGAGAGAGAAAGACACACACACACACAGAATCTGGCTCCCTGCTCTAAGCTGCCAGCACAGAGCCCAGCGTGGGGCTCGAACCCGTGAACCATGAGATCATGACCTGAGCCGAAGTTGGACACCCAACCAACTGAGCCACCCAGGTGCCCCTGCTCCCGTATGTACTATGGGAATCTGGCCCCTGTTCCCATATGTACTATGGGAATCTGGTTGCTCTCCTGGGGGTAAATCTCACAGTATTGTTAGGGCTTCCCTATGACTGGGTCCCTGTGGACTTTTTAATTCATAATCAGACTTGTCTGCATTAAACCTCTAGGGTTCATCAGTTATAGATTCAGATTTTCCTATCTGGCACTTGTTCCCACAGTGTTCCCTGCTAGGGAGTCTCTGTTCTCCTATACCACAAATCTTTGTATTTTTGTATGTATCTCTCCACTCTTAGGGGCAGCGGTTTGCCTTGGTCCTCCTCTCTCTTACAGCTCCAAGAAGAGTTGTTGATTTTTCATTCTTTTCAGCTTCTTACCTGTTGTAAAGATGGAGTGGCAACTTCCAAGCTTCTATGTGGAATCAGAAACCAGAAGTGTAAAAGATTTTTAAAAAATAAAGAATGAGTACATTAAAATATATGTTTAGAATCTCCATTAATAGATTAAAAAATTTTTTAATGTTTTATTTATTTCTGAGAGAGAGAGAGAGAGCGTGAGCAGGGGAGGGTCAGAGAGAGAGGGAGACACAGAATCTGAAACAGGCTCCAGGCTCTGAGCTGTCAGCACAGAGCCTGACTCAGGGCTCCAACCCACGAACCGTGAGATCATGACCGGAGCCGAAGTCAGATGCTTAACCGACTGAGCCACCCAGGCGTCCCTAATAGATTTAAAAATAAATGAAGAAATCCATATAGGTCTGTAATCTCTGTAACCATTTTTTCAACCAATGTCAATTTCTTGGTATTTGTTTTGTTTTGTTTTTAGAGAGAGAGAGAGAGAGTAAGTGAGTATTGGCAGTACACATACATGAGTGGGGGAAGGGGCAGAGGAAGAGGGAGAATCTTAAGTAGGCACCATACCCAGCGTGGAGCCCAACTCAGGACTCGATCTCAGGACACTAAGATCATGACTTGAGACAAAATTAAGAGCCAGACGCTCAGCCACCTGAGCCACCCAGGTGCCCCAGTTTCTTGGGTTTGATAATATACTACATTTAATGTAGGACATTAACAGTGCAAGAACCTTGGCACACAGGAACTCTGTAGTATATTTTGCAACATTTTGTGAATCTGTAACTATTTAAAGATTTTTTTTAAGTAAACACAGTTAGAAAAAACATTCACAGCCCAAGAAGGGAAAATTTCAAAGACTTAACATATAAAAAGCTTACCAATGAAAAATATGTAATAGTAGAAAAATGGACAAAAGTCATAGATAGATATTTTGGAAAACATAGGTAGCTAAATTTATGAAAAGTTATTTAAACTGTTGTCAGGAAACAACAAATAGAAGATTTACCTCTTTTTATTTATCAGCCTGGTAATGGTTAGCAATGGACATAATAAATACGAAACTGTCCAAGTATATGGGTTGCTGTGCACTCCATCTACTGCTAGTAGAAAAGTAAGTTGGCACAATTTTGTAGGAAGCCAATCTGATAACACACAGTCATAAAAAGTTGCCAATTAATACATAGGTATTTAACTAAATACGGATTGTACAAATACATCTGTAAGAATGTTCATCAAACATTATTTATAAAGAGAAAACTTAAGGAATAATAACAGGAAAATGATTAAATAAACACAAGAGATCATCACTGTAGAAGAATATTAAATGGTATGGAAAAATGTCTACTATAAAAAATCAAATTTGAAAAATATGAAAGGATACATTCTAAAAGCTCTCCTCAGGCCTCCAGTAGTTCACTACATAACACCTCTTCCCTCAACGCAGCCTCTATCCTGACTTCTAATAGTACAGCTGAGTTTTGCTAAACGTGAAATGCATTCATACTATATATATATACATAACTATGTATGGTTTTTGTTATTCAGTTTTATAGTTTTGTATATCATCCATGTTTCATGCAGCAATAATGTATTGATTTTCATAGCTGTATTCAATTGCATCCATATATCAACATATATTATCCATATATTTGTATTACAGTTATTAGTTTTTAGTCACCAAAGAAAGGAGATCAGGAAGAGAAGAATAGGTCAGAGGTGATCAAAGTGGTGACCCATTCCTGAGACCTCTAACATGGGGGCAAGGAGAGTTTCACCCAAGGTATAGGGGATGCCAGTGATTGCTCCTAGGCCACCAGATCTGAGGATGTACAGTCAACAAAGGGACACATGAAACCCCATTGGTCAGCATCAGAGTACTTGGGAGAATGACTGATATTAAGTCCTCCTAAATATATATATATATATATGTATATATATGCATGTACATATCTGTGTACATGAGTATGTGTGCGTGTGTTCTAGGGAAATGGAGTTGAGACTATTTAAATACTCCTCACATCTTAATTCCCAAAGGAACTGAAGTCTGTCTTTGTGTGTTACGTGGGAGCAAAGATCATGTGACTTGGAAGTGTGGTGTGCAAATGAAGATGAGCTGATTTAACTCTGAGATTCTGGGGGAGGCAGAAAGTGAAGAACCGAAGTGGATGTATGACATCTGGAACCCAACTGAATCCAGCTCATATACATGACTGCCACAGTAAATTCTCCTATGCCCTCTCCTATGCCATGTTTATGCCTAGACATTTCCTTGCAAGCAAGCTGTGTTCTTTGTTTCCAGATTGGGTAGGGCTTTCTCTTCCTGCTTGACAACGAGGTCCTGATAAATGTAGAAATGTAGTAAATAATCCGTGCACCATGATTCATTTCTTCTCTATCACAATGTGATCAATCACCGTAGGTTAGTAAGTGCTGATAGATTAGGTTTCAAATTTTGTAAAAACAAGGCTAGCACTTAACATTGAGGGCCAGCTGAAGGCACTGGTTTTTCTCAGCCTTTGGACTGAGATGAATGTATCGTAGAGGCTAATCTTAGAGAACAAGCTTGAGCACTGGAAACTTGATCAAAGCAAAAGGCCCATGGTGGCCCCCTGGCTGAACACAGACAGGTCCATCAGGCGGTCCACCTCAAAATATTCATAGGCCCTAACCAATGGGTTAGTTACAACCAGGCACAGTTACCAAAAAAGGGAAAATTCCATACATCCCCCTATCTCCTCACTTTTTCTCTTTAAAAACAGCCCCCGCCCACTGCCTCCTTGCAGATAGTCTCTCTGCTGTCCTGCCTGCTGCTCCCTTGTGGATTCAGTAAATTTCTCTCTCTTTGGTTCTGCTTCAGGCGAATTCTTTTCACCACCCACGCTACTGGCTTTCACCCCTACATTTGGGGGCTCCCACCTGATCTGGTTGGGAGAGACATCACATTTAGACACCACAAATGTGAGTTCCAGCTCTTCATTTTCAGCCATATGATGGCAGTTGCCTTTGCTAAGCCTCAGTTTCCTTCTCTATAAAATGGGGATAATATAGTACCATATCCATTAAATGATACAATACATATAAAACACCTACCACATACAGAAAGCACTCAAAAATTTTAAATTATTTTTATGGATTTAATCTTAATGTAATGATTTTCCATTCTTGCATGCCACAAAATGTGTGTGTGCATGTGTGTGTGTGTGTTTGTGTGTGTGTGACAATAAATATGCTATAGAAATGAGAACCAATCTTTGTGTTTATAATAGCAGAATGGTTATTGCCAAGTTGATGATATGCTCCATTATCTGGTTTCTTTCACACAAGATAATGTCTGTGAGATAAATCCATATTGTTGCTGTATTAAGAGTTTTCTCCTTTTTATTGAGGAATAGTATTCAATTGTATGACTATACCACAATTTATTCACCTCTGGATGGATATTTAGGACATTTCCAGTGTAAACTTAAAGAAAAAATTTTAATGTTTATTCATTTTTGAGAGAGAGATAGAACACAAACCAGGGAGGGCAGAGAGAGAGGGAGACACAGAATCTGGAACAGCCTCCAGGCTCTCTGTCAGCACAGAGCCCCATGGGGGGCGGGGCTCGAACCCACAAACTGAACCGTCTAACCGTGAGATCCTGACCTGTGCGGAAGTGGGATGCTTAAACCGACTGAGCCACCCAGGTGCCCCCTCGTGTAAACTTTTATAAATAAATTTGCCACGAACTTTCTCGTACAAGTCTTCTTGTGGACATACATTTTCATTTTTGTTGAGTAAATACTTAGAAGTGGAATCGTGGGGTCATTGTGTAGGTTAGGTTTAACTTTATAAGAAATTCCCACACCCATTTCCAAAGGAGTTGTACCACGGGACATTCCCACCAGCAATTTTTTTGTGTTCTGATTGCTTTACCTCTCTAGCAGTCTTTGGTAACATCGATCTTTTTACTTTTATCCTTTCAACTGGGTGTGAACTTAACTCATTGTGGTTTAATTTATGTTTCTCTGGTGAACAATAGTGTTGCGTATTCTGTCAGATTTTTGTCCTCTGCACTAATTCTGTGTCCTCAATCAAACGGGGATGACAATAACCAAAAATCAGGCACATCAACAGTGTGAAATACCTCCTCTCATTTCCTTAATGATTTACCTTTATTCACACTCAGTTGAAGTGCTATCTTGCATATACCTTTAGGACATATGTTAGTTTCTGCCTTTTCTGCACATTTTATTATGACTCTTATTATCTAGCTGGATTTAGCACAAAGTGACTGCTCTCTTGGTGAAATCCTCCCGATTATTTATATGATAATCATGAAGGGGAGCCTTTTAGATTACTTAATGCCTTATATTTGGGGGCATGCCTTTATTCAGGAGCACTCAAAGTCCTTTGAAGTTAATATTGACAACATCTTTGTGAAGTGGGTGGCAAGCACTGGGAAAAGAAACTGAAATTTCAGAAGGCAAAGAGACTTATTCCAAATCTCAAAGCGAAATGGTAAAATTCAGACTGTAACTTGACTCACCGTCGTCAGATATGTCGCCAGACCTACGGCCACCCAGTAAGCCATGGTAGAACTCCTTAGGGGGCAGACTGATAAAGGGTTCACATGAAGTTAAGTTGCTTCATCTGCTGATATAAAGTTAATGCAGTTTCCCCCCAAATCTTTGAGAACTGGAACGTTATCATAAGCCGTGCCATGTAGAATCCCTGTGGATTTGTGAACTGAAGGTTATAAAGAAAAACAGAGTCATTCTGCCCCATGGAAAAAGATGTGTGAGAATGCAGTAACGTAGGGCGGGGGAAAGGTTTCAAAGAACAATGTACAAAAATCTCCCATCCTTTCATACACACATAAATATTTTCAAATAAGAAGGCTGTGTTTTGAAAAAAACAACAAAGAAAAAGGTAAGACCTCTAGCAAAAAAGAAATAAAACACACCAGTGTTCCAAGTTGATTTTGTTCCTGCATCTGAACATACTGCATATTTAAAGAGTCACTCTCAAGTAATATGGGTGATGTTTAACAAATATGCCAGAAACCACACACCCAAATAGGTGCTTTTTTTCCTCCAAAGGAGGCATCTAGGGATGTTTATACACTTACCTCCATGTCCCTTTGTCCCTGATGATAACATTTTTGGAATTGCTGTTTGGAATAGCCTTCAGAACCACAGGAGCATTCTTTGGAATGTCTTCAGGATTCTGTGGCTCCATGTAAAAAGTATGCTTTGGATATTCTCTCACCATTTTGGTGTCTTAAGTCTTAGGCTCCTTATCTTGGGACCCTTCTTACTAATAACTCAGGCATGACAATTAGCTTCACAGTTTTAGCTGCACCCCTCGCCTTTCTTCTTGACCACAATCTTGTGTGGGTGTCTTTGTTTTTGTCCGAGATGGTCCAGGTAGCTCCAGGTGAAAAGTCTCTTGGTCCGACCTGCGCCAGGAACAGTTATCCTGCCCCACCCCGAGGCACAAGACTGCACGTGATCCAGTGTGCCCGTCATCCCCAAGAGCAGTAGTTAAAGACCCAGTGGCAGTCATTCTTACCCTCTCCGAGCAAAATTGACTTGTTAAAAATGGCCCCAACTCATCGGGTGCCGATGACTGCCATGTAGTGAGTGACTTGTAGGTTCGAGCCACAGAAGGAAAATAAAGGTTGAGAAATGGCTGGGACTGGATTTATCCTGTGGCTCGGAGTGCTGCACGGACTCACTCACCGTCGCTGAAAGAGCGCTGCTCTCAGGTACAGCACACGTTAGTGTCTTGCTCCCACTCGATTGGGCTGAGCTGTGGCTCTGCTCCCTTTCTGGGACCCACACTGATGGGACTTGTCAGTCTCTTGATAGAGGAAAATGAGACATAGTGAAACACACCCTCACAGTCAGGGCACTGGAATAAATAGACTGCTTGTAATAGTTTGTTGAAGGGAAAACTTATTTATTTATTTATTTATTTATTTATTTATTATGTTAATTTTTTTGAGAGGGAGAGTGGGGGAGAGGGGGAGGGAGGGAGGGAGAGAGAGAGAGAGAGAGACAGAATCTCAAGAAAGCTCCGCACTTAGTTGCTTCATTTCATGACCCTAGGATCATGACCTGAGACAAAATCAAGAGTTGGTCGTTCAACTGACTGAGCCACCCAGGCGCCCCTAGATTTATTTATTTAAGCCTTTTAAAAATGTTTTATTTGTTTATTTTTGAGAGAGAGAGAGAAGAAGCAGGAGAGGAGCAGAGAGAGGGGGACAGAGAACCCCAAACAGGGTCTACCCTGACATCAGAGAGCCCGATGTGAGGCTCAAGCCCACGGACCCTGAAATCATGACCTGAGCCCAAATTGAACGCTCAACTGACTGAACCAACCAGGTGCCCTGTAGATTTATTTTTCAAAGGTAGATTTTTGTTGGTTTTGTTTTAACTATCTTTATTGTGGCAGCATATTTATGTTCCTATATATCACCATCAATAAATATAAATGCTTATACTGTATAAGGAAAAGTAATGTGTTAGACCACCTTTTCCAAAGGAGAATCACCGAGGACAAAGCCCACAAAACACAAAAGGAGTTGGTTATTCAGGTTTATTCCAGTCCGGCCTGACGGCCCCTCCCGAGCACCCAGAGTCCTCGGAAAAGCGCGCCATCGAGCCATAGCTCAGGGTTTATATAGGGAGAGAGGCGAAGCCGGGGTACAGAAGCGAGAATTTTGCGGTTAGAGGTGGGGGGTTGCTTAACAGTCACTTGAAGAACATGTTTGACCGTTCTAATCACAGTGTTCACTAAAGATTTCCATCTCGGGCTTGCTGCGGCCAGGAGGAGCTAGGTTGCTCACCCCCTGACCTTTTACCGAATAGAGTTTGAGATCAAACAATGGTTGGTATCCTCATTCGCAAGCCCCTCACCTTTTGACCCAAGGGAGTTTTACAACGGATGAGCAAATAATAATACCACCAATAAAATACATTAGTGGGGCGCCTGGGTGGCTCCGTTGGTTAAGCATCTGACTTTGGCTCAGGTCATGATCTCACAGTTTGCGAGTTTGAGCCCCGCATTAGGCTCTGCAGTGACAGTGCAGAGCCTGCTTGGGGGTTTCTCTCTGCCCCTCCCCCACTTCTCTCCCTCTCTCTTTCTCTCTCGAAATCAATAAATAAACTTCAAAAAAAATACACTAGCATTTTCTTTTGGATACTACATTTTTATAATGACACTGCCAAGTTATTTTCCTAATTGCCTTTTATCTTAATCAATATATACATGGTTTGTATTTTCCAAGTGCAGGAAAGCAGATTATGCCAAATACAGACACACGGAAGCTGTGTGTCTGTTTGCCACCTCAGGAGCTCTCCAGAGGGAAATCTGAAGCTGGGCCCGGGCCTGCAGGGCGAGGAGAGATCAGAGACAGACCGTTCCTGATTGCTAAGTGGCAGTTTTAATACGAAGCAAGGGAGTTTACACGGGACGCTTGCGTCCAGAGGCTGCAAGGCCAAGTAAATCTCCACACCCAACTTCCAGAACCTTAAACTGTACACAGAGACCTTAATGAGGCTCAGTCACATGCACGCCCCAGGTGGACTCAGCAGCACCTTACTCTCCAGGTTGCATCCTTGAGACTGCTCCGGCTCCGGGAGTGGTGGGCGGAACGAACATTCCGGAGACGGAGACGGAGAAGGGCTGGGGAGCCTCTAAGTGGCCGGGCCCAGCTCTCGGGTCAGCCAGGGGTCACGTCCCTGTCGAGGACTCCCTCCAGCACTGTGGCCCTTGCTCGTGTTCCAAGCTGGCTCGTTTGTGGAATCCCTGGCCACCCTTCCTTGTGTTGGGGTGAGTCAAAACCCAGGGCGTAATCTGCAGTATTTCCATGCCCGATTCACCTGGAGACTCTGACTTACAACTGAAAAGAAACCCGCCTCCCTAAGGAAAGCGCTCTGGATTAGTGGCTGGGTTCACTGATGCCTGAGAGAACCAGGTCAGTGTCTAAGCGGGGTGGGAAGGGAGCACTCATAAGTTTATGGGGAGGGCAGTGCACCCCATCAGCGAGGCTGCCACACACCCTCATGGACGAGGAGCAGAATGGTTAAGGCAGGAAGGTCTCCTGCATTTTGTCTCTCTCCACGCCCTTAGCTCGGTTCCGACGTGCCGGGGAGAGGATAGAAAGGGCACTCTGTCAAAGCTCCATCATCGAAATCCTACCAAGGAAACAGATTTTAAAAGCCGCAGGAAGGATTTATGACTTCAGGGACCTTTGTGAGTCCTTTTATTAGCCTAGTACATCACTTCTCTCCCATCTTTATGCTGACAACACTCCTCAGCCCTTCTCTAGATTTCTTGTCAAACTGGGCAACTCTATAAAACGAACAGACGAGCTGCAGGAAGGGCTGATTGATTCCCGTGTACGCCTGTACATTAGGAGCAATTTTATTCTGCTAAGAGGTTCACTTACGCAGTCTTCCAGTGAGGGGGTCTTGGATTGTTTCTGACAACTATGTGTTTTTAAAGAGTTTTCTTTTTTTATATA